TTCGCTTCTGTCTGCCTAAGTTGTCCCACTTACCAAATAGGGATAATGATAGCATCTGTGCCCCAGAATTATTTTGAGATTAAATGAAATATTTGCATTGTTGTTTTTAAGTCATTAATCATGTCCTACTCTTCATGACCAGGGATCATACTGTCCCTGGGGTTTTCTTAGCAAAACTATCATATTGGTTTACCAGTTTTTTCTCCAGTGAATTAAGGCAAAGAGAGGTTATGTGAATTGCCTAAGGTCACGCAGCTAGTCAGTGTCTCAGGCTGATTTTTAAGTCAGGTCTTCCTGACTCGAGGCCCAGTGCTCTACCCACTGATCAATCTAGCTGCTTTAATATTTGCATAGCTCTGTGTAAATCTTAAACTGCTATATAAATTGAATTGTTGTTATTGTTATTATTAATTTAAGTTTCCTATAGTTGAGCTTACCCTTAGTCTAGTTTTCTCTGTAAGGCATCATGATAAATTGCACCAATGATTTTAAAGGAAAAAGAAACAATTTCTTTGTCCTCCTTTATAAATTTAACGTCAGAGTAAACAAGTTACTTTTTTTGTCCACAATAACAGTATGGATTGGAATAAAATTTTAAAAATTGCGTACCTTAGTATATTAAAATATTCTATTGGCTGTATTGGATGTGTGGAAGGGACCTCTTAACGAACTCCCTATAGCTCTATTTCTTGGTTGGACCCCTCTTTAGAACCCTTTGTACAAAAAGAGTAGGTATGTGGTGGGAGGGAAAACTTTTTGAACTTCTTTATATCATCGTATGTCCCAATCCATGTAGGATTATGCAGTAACTACTCTAATAGTTGTAAGTCTTTGAATAAAGGTCTTTCTGGCATAATACTCCAATAGTGTTGTCGATTGTTATGTTTTTAATGACACTATAAAGGCATTATTTCTTGAGTTCTGTTGGACTGTTTTTCCTAGAGTGTGTTAAAATACTTCAAAAGGCAGGTAGAAAAAGAGAAGGGGAAAGGTAGGAGAGAAAGGTAAGGCAAAGAGAAAAAGAAGGAAGAAAAGAAGGAAGGAAGGAAGGAGAGAGGAAAGCAAACATGCAAATACCTTTTGAGTCCTTCTACCTGTCAGAGAGAATTAAAAAAATTTACAAAATTAAAGTCTAGTATAATTTAGAGACATAACTTTCAAGAATAAGGAGTGAGAGATGTCATTGTATTCTGTACTCATTACACCTCAAGGGGAGAATTGTGTTCAGTTCTGTTCACCCTAGGTTGATAAGGACATTGATAAGCAAGAAAACATCCAGTGGAAGACAAGAAGGAAAGAAGGAAGAAAGGAAGGAAGGAAGGAAGGGGGGAAGGAAGGAAGGAAGGAAGGAAGGAAGAAAGGAAGGAAGGAAGGAAGGAAGGAAGGAAGGAAGGAAGAAAGGAAGGAAGGAAGTTCTTAAGAGGATTGCTTGAAAGAGGTGGGGATGTTCAACCTAGAGAAAAGAATACTTGGGGTTGAGAAAGACATAAATTCTGTTTCAAAGTATTTGAAGGGTTGTCAAAGGACATTTAAAGAGAATTTGGGCATTCCTATATGGGTCCACAATGCAGATACATATGCAATAGTAAAACTGTAATCCATATTCCCTTATTTACAATCCCATTCCTTTATTTAATGGCTCTTAACATAGCATGAAGGTATTTGATGATCCTGATTATGGGGAAAATTATATTTCTGTTGCCTAGTTATGTCTTGAGTCTAATTAATGGTATTTTAAAGTTGCATGTCATGGACTAACAGATGCTCATAAGGGCACCAGTACTCAGAAAAGTAAGTAAAACAATTAGATCCTCTGAGTGTGCAATCTTAGGTCCATCAATCATCAGCAAGTAAGCAGATTAAACCTGTTAGGAGATGTAAATATAACACAGATAGGCCATGGGACTACTCTAAGAATTCAAACTCAGATTAGCAGGTTGGATCCCTGGATAAAGGTTAATTCTCCTTCCCATTGTGGTTCTAGGATAAATGCTAGAGGTTAGGGTATCTTTCTAGTACCATCATACATGATTCCCCCATCTGGTATTCTTTCCGTTATATCATTCCCCCAGTTATTTTCTTTTCAATTTCATCTAATAAGTACTTAGTGCCCCAATGCCAATTTGACTGAGTAACATTAATTAGCTTTTATGAAGTGATATTTAATGAGAAGATACATCAAAAACTAATGTACAAGAAAAGACCCTGCCTCACAACAGGGTTTTCTCTCTATATACCTCAATAGGGAGGTAGACACAATATTGGGTTACAAATTTAAAATAGTTGTAATAAAATATGACCCCCAAAAAGGTCATTTTTAACTATCTGGGCTCTTGTGAAGAGTAGGGTCAAACTTAGAGTAGTAACTACAAAACATTCCCTTCACCCCGTTCCCTTCTCAATATGGCATAGCTGATAAGGAAGTCATTCCATTGCTCACAGGTTATTGAGTGTCACCTGTCAGGCTAACTCATTGCTGGGATGGACTAAGCAGATACTCCTTGGGTATGTGCTCATTCCATGGGCTTGGCTGTTGTGACTACTAAAGACTGTGCTATGAACTCCCAGCACTGGATCGTTCCTAGATCATAAGGTTGTTCTATCACCAAATCTTCCTGGCCTAGGATCTGGAAAAAAAAAACACCAGAAAAAGAAAGGAAAAGTATGTTCAAACCACATGGCATTCAGGTTCCTTAACAGAAGATTCATGATTCTCCTTCCTCCTCACCCAAAAGCTATCATGGAGAGAAAGAGAGAGTTCATCAATCTGTTCCTTTTGTGTTCATACTCATTTCCAACTCAGTCAATTTAGACTTTCCATCTCCATGCAATAAGCCAAAAGGAGACATTCATAGAGTATCTCCTCATGCTTTCAATCAGGACAGAGATCCTCCATTGCCCATCACCAGAAGCAGGTTCACCAACTCTCCATTTAGATTGCCAATAGGCAGATCCTCTCAGTCATACTCAAAAGGCTTACCCTTCATTAGCCAGTTTCTCATTACATAATAATGACCGATCATGGACTCTTATTAATGTAGAAATGCAGGAAATACAAATGAATTATAGTTTTTTGTTAATGTTAATGATCAGGGCCCCAATTAATGTTCATCTCCACTCTAGAAACACCAGCCAATTCATGTGGTTCATGACTATGTTATTGTCAATATAATCACTTAGAATTGCTTAAAATTAGGAGACTTTGCCTGTTTCTTTGCTTTTTCCTCACTGAAAATTATAAAGTTCTCTTCTGGCATCTCAGTGTTTTAAAGATAACCCTGAGGTTTCTAAAGCACAAATTCCAACAAGTCTTACAAAGTTGGAAGGGTCCCTAATACCAATTTTTTAGAGCAGTGAATTATTCATCAACTCTCAAAGGTCATTACTTGAAAGGGAGTTGCGATCTGCATCACCAAAGGGTACTAACACTGCCAAAATCACCAAACCTTAAAAGTAGGAAGTCTTGAAGTAAGAAAACTTTAAAGTAAAACATACTTGTAAAAGTAGTTCTATAAGCATAGGTGGTTAAAGAATATTTCTACATTTCCTTAAAATGATGTTAATGTTGAAATTTATCCTTTCTGGAAATGATATTTGCCTAAAAATCAAATAGCTAAAACTCTATTAACTCCATTAATCCAAAAATCCAAAAAGATGATGTCATTTTCAATTTATTTTAATAGGAATCATTTCTCAGAATAATAATGGCTTCAAGTAGAAATCATACCAAAAATATACAAAGATTTACATAAAGGATCTACGATATTATCAGCATTAAGACCTTATAACACCATAGATGATCACAACCCATATATTACTTTAGTAAATGACCTGGAGAAGGAAATGGCAAACCACTCTAGTATCTTTGCGAAAAAAAAAAAATGGGATCACAAAGAATTGCATATGATTGAAACAACTCAACAACAACAACAAAAAGATAAGTCCTAGGGAGTTGTCTTTGACTGATCAATTGATTTTCCTAAAGCATGTTACTTCACCTCCTCAAAAAACTCCCATGGCTCTCTATTATTACCCAAATAAAAAAATAAAGTCCATTGTTTGGCATTTAAAGCCCTTCAAAATGGGGCTCTTCTCTGCCTTTCCATATTTTTTTTGTTACTCTTCTCCACATACTTTAAATTTCTGACACACTGGCCTTCTCTCTGTTCTTACACTCCATTTTTTTTTGTCTTTGGGTCTATGTGGTAGCTTTCCCTCATACTTGCAATAATTTCCTTCCTAGTTTCCCTGCTTCCCTTAAAGTTTTGGCTCAAATCCCACCATCCACAAAAAGACAGTCCCCCTGCTATTGTCCTCCCCACTGAGGTTACTTTCCTCATACAATGTATATAGATAGATAGATGGATAGATAGATAGATAGATAGATGGATAGATAGATAGATAGATATAGATATATAGAGATATATATACCTATTATTATACTTCTTATATCCTTATGTATATACCTATTCATTAAAATGTCTTCCCTACCATTAAAATGTAAGCTCCTTGAGGACAGGGACTACTTTTACCTTTCTTCATATCATCAGCACTTAGCACAGTACCTGGCACACATAGTAAGAGATTAATAAATGTTCATTGACAGAAGGACTGAATGACTGATTGAAATACACATAGACCATTTTCACACATTGCCAGAAAGAGGATTTGAGCACAGATCTCCCTCACTACAAACATAAAAGAAAAGTAACTATAACCAACACTGCCTCTACTATAAATTTAACAATCAAAAGCACTTGATTCTACAGGCACATTTTTCTTCAAATATTAATCCAACTTCATTTTGCTAGACCCAGGACTTTTTGACATAACCTAAAATGTCTCAATTCTTATCAGACTATTCTATACCTAGGAAAAAAAGCATATTCTAGATCACTTTTAATAGAAAATATTTGTCAGAACTCTTGAGTGTCAGATGACAGTCACATCAAATATGTGTATGAATTTGTTGAGGAAAAAACACAATGTTTTCCTCAAACTCAGGAAGTTGTCATTTTGCAGAATTTCTTCAGGGCTTCTTTCACATCCTTGTTCCTCAAGCTGTAGATCATGGGGTTCAACATGGGGAACACTACAGTGTAAAACGTGGAGACAATTTTGTCCCGCTCCAGGGCATAGCTGGAACTTGGGCGAGAATAAATGTAGAGAATAGAGCCATAGTACAAGGTAACTGAAATCAAGTGAGAGGAACAGGTAGAGAAGGCTTTGAGTCGGCCCTGGGTAGACCGAATCCTCAAGATGGCAGCAATGATGAAGAGGTAGGATGCCAGGATTAGTAAAGTAGGAGTGATGACATTGGAGGCCAAGAGGAAATAGAGCACTTCCTGGTAACTGTCCTTCACATTACATGCCAGCTTCACCAAGGGCGGTACATCACAGAAGAAGTCATCAATGATATTTTCCCCACAGAAGTTCAGAGTGAATGTATTGCTAGTTAGTATGACAGCATTAACAAAACCCCCAATGTAGGAAATGCCAACCAGACATGAACATAACCATCTAGACATGGCCTGTGCATAGAGCAGTGGATTAGAAATGGCTATGTAACGGTCATATGCCATGGCAGCCAACAGGTAACATTCACTATATGCTAGTCCAGCTGAGAAGAAGAACTGAGCCACGCATCCAGCAAAGGAGATGCTCTTGTCCTCAGAGACACAGGTCATCATAATTTTGGGGGTATAAACAGAGGAATACCAGAGATCCAGAAAAGACAGGTTACCAATGAAGAAATACATGGGGGTGTGCAGCCGGGAGTCTGTACAGATTAATACTATCAAAGTGATATTCCCCACCATTGTCATAGAGTATACAATGAGGAAAAGTGCAAAGAGGATCTGCTGCTTCATAGGATCCTGGGTGAACCCTAGCAGGATAAACTCAGTTACAGTATAATTGCTATTCTCCATGCCTTCAATGGGTTTCATCTGCCATGCAGAAGGGGTTCAGAAGCACCATGGCCCTTACCTACATAAAACAAATGAAAAATAAACATTGCGCTATTGGGTAAACTATACAATCAACAGGTAGCAACATTGCCTATCACCTAATGTTGTTGATCTCTGCCTGTCATTTGGGTAAACCTCATTTCCAGCAGAAATTTGGAATTTGGAATAGTTCTTATTTCATTGGAGATGGTCTTACTCAAAGTTTCTAAAGGGAGATCAAGTTCTGGTGACTCCTACAAGGCTGAAAAGACTTCAGATTCATCCCATGTTGCTCACTTTGACTGGTATCCAAGGACTAGCCTAGCTAACTACAAAGAGACTCATTACCTGCCAGTCTGAAGGGTAAAGGATATTTTAGCTATAGCCATCTTCAACAAATGTCAACCAAGTTACTAAAATTGTTCTATGAAATGGTGGCAAGATTGTCTACAGCAATGAAATATCCACAAAGTATGGAAGTGTTGGATAGAATATCATTTTAATTATACATAATTATACTATTAGAACATAAGACTATTCTTGCTTATGATTAATGGGATCCCATTAATCAGCTCTCTATTAACCTAGTGGATCAAGAAATGATGTAGCTATTGCTTCATCACTGAGTCCAACCCTTTCCTTTTTCAGATAAAGAGACTGAGGCCCAGGGACTAGAAGTGATTTGTCCAAGGTCATCTGACTCCAAATTCAGTTCTCATTCCACCAAGCACAATACCTCACATCTTTTGACCTCTTGTGTTAGCATGAAAATACATGTATTTTTGCAAACGTCAGGAATAACAAAATCTTGGAATCTGAGAGTTGGAAAGGTCTTCATAAAGCATTATCAGTGCAGCACAATACTGAAAAGAATTCTCACTGAAACAAATCTAAGAAGTGGTTATCTAGCCTTTGCTTGGTAACTTCCATTATCTAATAAAATGTTTTATTATTTTGAATCAGAGTGCACATTCTGCATGAGGCAAGTTCATCGAAGAACTCTTCTTTTGCATTCTATAATGCAGGCTTCTAGCTCATTCCTATTTCCCCACCCACTAATTGAAGATATTTCAAACTAATGAAATCTTACCCTATCATCATCATCATCATCATCATCATCATCATCATCATCAGGCATGTTGGTATAATGGTTGGAGTACTATGCTGGTGGGGCAGCTAGGTGTTGGAGTGGATAGAATACCAGGCCAAGAGTCAGGAAGATGAATCTTCCTGAGTTCAAATCTGTCCTTATACACTTACTGACAAGTCATTTAACCCTATTTGCCTCAGTTTCTTCATCTGTAAAATGAGTTGGAGAAGGAAATAGCAAGCCACTCCAATATATCTGTTAAGGAAACCCCGAATGGGGTCATGAAGGGTCAGACATAACTGAAATACAACTGAGTAACAATACTGTACTGGCAATTAATAAGACATGAGATCTTCCAAATCTGACACTAGTAATGTCCTCCTTAGGAAAGTCACATAACACACACACACATCTATATATATTATATATATATATATAGATGTGAGTGTGTGTGTGCGTGTGTGTGTATTTCACAACTCCCTGGAACGTATCTATTGTCCCACATAGCTTGAATGTTCCTGCTTGCTACTTCTCACTCAGGTTACATGACTTCTTTCAGTCCAAATCTCAGCTTCTGAAGGAAACCTTTCTTGGTCCCCCCATTCCCCACATTCTAGTGCCTTCTCCTCTCAGCTTACCTTCTATCCATTCTGTATAGTTCTTGTATTTAGCTAGTTATTTACATATTTTCCCCCACTAGAATCTGAGCACCTTGAGGATAGGATCTTTATTTCTTTTTGTAGCCCCAACACTTAGCACAGCAACTAAAGTGCTTCAACCCTA